TATGACGGTTATTTTGGGCTGGGATTCTGGGATAAATGAAATTACCAACGTACGCGTGGCCTCTTCATTTCTGTTTTCCTGGATGGTTGATATGGGAAGGCGGAAACAAGTTGCTAAGGGTCCTTACACTGCAGAAAAACACAACCCCAGCCCCACGGCCACTATACCCCCCTCGTGCTGCCCACCAATGCCCTCAGCGGGGCAACACGCGCATGACGCATAAACCTATCCAAAGAACTTCGAACGACTCTCAGACTCTCATGTGGCGACATCTATAGAGGTAGCTACCTCCTGAACCCGGGAAAATCCCTGCAGGTTAAGCTGACTAGTTTCCCCCTACACCAAGCACTATCCCTTCTGAGCTCTCAAGGCCACACTACTGGGCTAAAAGACTCGACCGAACCAACCCCGTCCCGGCCCGCCGGCTGTCCAGTCGCCCCTCAGCGGCCGTTTGCCACAAGCCTGCAGCTGGCAGAGCCTGGCGCGGAGGTGTCTGCGATTGACCGGCGAAGAAGGGAAAGGGAAACTTGTCAATCCACGATTGATTTCTTTTCAGGACTAGCCAGAGACACAATGGATTTCAAGCTAAATTGCGTTCCCCAATCCACTTCGAACTGTATGAATGCGAATGAATAATCTTATTAGGGACAATAACACGGCACGGGAGTTTCATGCCCTCAAAGCGGGAACAAACGCTAGAACTGAATACATACATAGTTCTAAATCTTCTACTAAAATTTTCCTGTAGCGTTAGAGGCCTTTAATTCATATTGGCGAACGATGCTTCCCGAGCTACCGGGATACTGTAGGTTCAACATGTACATTTACAGAAATGTACTAAAATGAATTCACGAAGTGCGCAGCAAATAAGATGAGTAGCCTATAGGCCCATGTCCATAGTCCAGGGCAACGGAGGGGGTTACCCTGGGGCCGTGTTACCCCTCCTGCTGGGTAGGAACTTACAAGGGGGTTACCTATGGGCTACGGGGGGTTGAAGGTGGGTAACCGATGGGTAACCCATGGGTTACCCACCCAATCAGTGCCTTAGGGCAACAGCGGCGTCCATGTCACCGACAAGGCTCTAAACGTCTTATCTGTTCTTATGTTTAATTAAGTTGATGTATGTTATACTTTGCGCAACTTTGTAATTTGACTTTACTCTGAACAAGGTGCTGCATACAACTGCCTCTTCGCCAGACGCTTCCTCTTCCCGCGGCAGTTTCACGAGCCCAGTCTTGCAAGCTACGACGTAGGCTTTCGGTTCTTTCAGTTACTGCAAAGCAGCCATGCAATAGTCCAGCCTGCATGCCGCGTGCGCCTGTGGCCAGCATGCCTTCCTGCGCACCGCGCTGACGCACCGCGGCCTTTCTTCTAAGAAAATTTATATACACTTGTACACGCGCATTTTGCGAATCGCACGCGCGCACCCGCGCGGTGAAATTCGCTCCTGGCTTTTGGGGCGTGATGTACGGACCTTTTATTCGCGAAGTACGACCGGACACATTTGTGCGAGGGGCTGCTTAACAAATAGGGGGGTCCTTGTGAAGCAGCTGCCCGCGTTTCCAAAGCACGTATGGTGTTGGATTGTAAGGTGCCCAAGTACGTTTGCGAGGAAGAGAATGTGGCCAGGCTGGAGAGGAAAGTGCAGTGGCATATTGGAATGTGAGATTAGCGTAAGCGAGTTACAGGGCGTTTTATTGCACGGGCGAATTTACGTGCAAATCTTTCACCGTAGCATCAGTCCTCAGTTCACTTCTTGGAACGAACATCAGCATAGGTGCAAGCCCTTTCGCTTGGAGGGATATGCAAACAAACATCCTGATAGGGGTAAACTCGCACGCTACCGAGCATTCAATCGATCACATGCATGCTTAGTTGAATGGTGAGATGCGACCCCCCCTTCATTTCGTGCTCGTCAAGCCTGCCACCGCGTACCGGATATGTTGGCGATGTTACAGAACGCTGCACCTTGGTTTCTGTGCGCATTGCGTACGTTGCTCGACCCCGCCGACCAAAACTACACGTGCCCAACTGAAGACATTCCCGGTGGTTGTGCAGCAGCTCTTGAGGCTGTTGCTGGCTGAAATCCATCCTGAGCTGTTGCAACACGGCTAACGCGGGCACGTCCCTATGCACAGCAAATAGCTGTTCCAAGCCAACAGCGGCGTCCATGTCACCGACAAGGCTCTAAACGTCTTATCTGTTCTTATGTTTAATTAAGTTTATGTATGTTATACTTTGCGCAACTTTGTAATGCGAGCTTGCGTTAAGTAAGCTGGGTTAGTTGGGCGTAAGGCCCAATGCGTAACTGTTAGACTAACTGTTTCGCAACGGCCCGTGTCCTCAGGGCCGTCATTTATTGCGCGCATTAAGCTGGTTAGCTTATCTTGTTTTTGTTGTTCAGCGCGCGCTGATCAACAAAACAGGTCCCGCGCCTTCGGCGCGCTTTCTGTTACTATACCGCTGTGCCTTCGGCTCGTCAGCGAGACCCATCGGGTAGAGTGCAGTGGAGAATATAAAGCAC